CTCTCGAGGGGAGCAGATCCTGTCTGCCGGACAGTCACCACCACCACAAGTGACGTCGAGAGGGAGTCTGGCCGGGCGACCATGAAATAACTCGAAAGGAGAAACACCGGTAGTCTCATGCTTGCTCGTGTTGTAAGAAAAAACAACTTTTGGGACCAGCGTGTCCCAATCCCTTTGATTGTCTGAAACGAAAGCAGCCATCATGGAGCACAGGGTTTTGTTGAAACGTTCCACCTGTCCGTTTCCGGATGGATGGTAACACGTCGTGCGTGTTTTGTCGATATCCAGATGTCGACAGACTTCCTTAACCCTCGCCCTGGCAGGGGGGGGGGGTCGATGCGACCCCCCCCCCCCCTAAGGTTTTTCGAAGATAGCGTAAAAACGGCGGCGCGCAGCGCCGCCAAGTTTGGCACAGCCTATGGGGCAACCTTTTTACATATGACCTGAAAATTTCAGGTCCGGGTGACCTTGGGTCAGGTCACCAGGTCAGAAAAACCGGTACAAGGTCATGGTCAAATTTCAATTTTCTTTTTGCACCTGTCCAACTCACAGTTTTGCACTGATTTCCTTCAAACTTTCTGGATGTGCTAAGGTCACCGAGTTGTATAACATATAGTTCGGGTTTTTTGAGGTCACTGACCTGAGGTCAGTTAGAGGTCATTACGTCGTAATGTTAAGCTTATGGGAAAATACTAAATTCGGAAAATACTGGAGATATCCGCTTCGTTCTATCACTTTTGTGCTTTGAAACCACAGTACTTAACAGCAGGTCACTTGGTGCTTCTTTGTTTGGTGTACTTATCCATGGGTCAGGTCAAATGAGGTCAACTGAGGTCAAATGACGTTTTTGCCAATAACTTGGCTTATAATGACGCTAGAGCTTAAAAAATGGTATCATTGTGTTTCTGGTGATCAGCCGAATCGAATGATATGCGATATGATGCAATTTGGATACCTTTAACTTAATTTATTAATTTAAGTTTACTTAAAATTTAAGAAAAACTTTAAGTACACTTAATCAATCTAAAAAGTATAGCATTCGACGCGCCTTGACGTGCTGAGTTCACTGGTGCTTTTCTTTTTTCTCTATCTTAATTAGATCAAAAGTTATAAGCGAAAAACTTTTGACCTGTTTTTAGCGAAATTTTTACATTTATACCCCCCAAAACCCCCCTAAATATTGACCTAGAGCAACCAAATTTGCACAGGGGCGAGAACTCTAGGGGGCCCACCTACCTACCAAATTTGGTGTTTCTAGGTGCCATAGGAGCCAATCGCGAGGGGGGGGGTCGCATCGACCCCCCCCCCCTGCCAGGCCGTGTTATGAAAAATGCCCTGCCAGGGCGAGGGTTAAACAGTCGGCTCTCGAAATTGCGACCCTGGTCTGAGTGGATAACGCGTGGACACCCATACCTGCAGAAGAGCTCCCTAACCAGGATCCTAGCAACCGTTTCCGCCTCCTGGTTGGGAATGGGAAATGCCTCGACCCACTTCGAAATCCGCAGACTACTACCAGGATGTATCGGCTACCAGAGTCCGTCAACGGAAAGGGTCCCGTAATGTCTGTGGAGACCCATTCCCAAGGTCGGGCTGGAAGAGGCATCTTCCCGAACTCCGCCCTGAGGGGATGGCAAGGGCTTTTCTTCTTGGAACATGGAGAGCAGGATTTGACGAAGTTGGCTACGTCAGTGGTCATTCGGGGCCAATAGAAACGGCACTTCAGCTTCTCAGTAGTCTTTGAAATTCCCAAATGACCCGCCCAGGGACTGTCGTGGGACTCTGAGAGTATCTCATCGACCATGGAAGCTGGAACGACAAGACGCCTGTGGTTGTCCGCGTGAATGTATAACAACCCCGAAGAGCTGTCCACTTCCAAAGCCTCTTTCACTGACAGATAGTGTCGTACGACAGACGACTGACTAGATACATTTGGCAAACCATGCAAAAGACTGACGACAACCAGCAATATATCTGGATCGCTGCGCTGGGCCAGAAGGATACGGTGTTCATCAGACTTGAGATCAATGTGACCAACCACACCTCCCGACACCGCCCTTGACAGCGCATCAGCATGTGGGATGGACCGTCCTGGACGGTACTGCATTATGTACGGAAATTGTTCCAGCTCAAGGATCCACCGAGCCAGCCGTCCCCTCGGGTCCTTGCACGAACGCAAGTACGTCAACGGGCAGTGATCTGTCTGGAGTGCGAATGGTCTACCCTGCAGGTATACAGCAAAGTGGCGAACCGCCCAGACCACTGCCAAGCACTCCCGCTCGGTGGCGCTGTATCGAGCCTCGATTTTGGACAGACAGCGGCTCGCAAACGCCACCACTTTTTCAGAACCGTCAACCCGCTGGGTAAGTATTGCACCCAGACCGATGCCGCTGGCATTGGTAGTGAGAATAAACTCTTTCTCGAAATCGGGGAAAGCCAGAACTGGCGCCTCCGTCAGCAGACGCTTCAAACTTTGAAAGGCGGGCTCGCACATGTCATCCCAAAGAAATTTCGCACGATCCTCGGTCAGCTTAAGCAATGGCTTAGCCACTGTAGAAAAGTTTGGTATGAACTTTCTGAAATAACTAGCTAAACCAATGAATCTACGCACATCATGGACGTTTTTAGGACGTTCGTAGTCGACAACCGCCGAGACCTTCGAAGGATCCGCGGAAATGCCCTCACCGCTAATGACATGACCTAAAAACTTCACCTCCTCTTAAAAAAACTACATTTCCTCAGGTTAAGTTTCAGATTGGCCTCCTTTACGGCACACAGAACGTGATCCAGGTGACCCAAAGCTTCATCAAACGACTTACCGAATACGATCACATCATCTAGGTAAACCAGGCACTCCCGCCAGGTTAACCCAGCAAGAACAGCCATCATGAGACGCTGGAATGAGGCAGGGGCTCCCTTCAGTCCAAACGGCATCCTCAAAAATTCCCAGAGTCCCGTGTGGGTAGCGAAGGCTGTCTTTTCCTTATCTGAGTCCTTTACCTCCTGCTGCCAATATCCCGACTGAAGATCCAAGACGCTGAACCAAGATGACCCGGAAAGAGCATCCAAACAGTCCTCCACCCTGGATAAGGGGTGAGATCACCATGCGTTAGGTCGTTAAGACGACGGTAATCAATGCAGAGTCGCAACGAGCCATCTCGTTTCCGAACTGGCACCACCGGGGAGCTCCACGGCGAGCAGCTGGGACGAATGATACCATCTCGCTGCATTTCCAGGATAGCCGCGTCAACATCATCCCTGTCAATTACGTTAATCCTTCGCGGAGGCTGAGAAACGGGACGGGCTCCCTCTACGAGCGGGATCGAATGTTTCACGATACCACACTGAACTGTCCCAGCTCACCATCTAACGAGAATGCTTGTTTGTGCTTACTCAAAAGATCGGAGAGGGCAGTTTTCTGTGCATCATCACTGAGGTCAGAACCCTCGACCAGAGCGTTCACCCAAGCATCGTCAATCTCACATTCATCCCCAGAGTCACCATCAGCAATCTTTGAGTGATCCATCAGACGGGCCACTACAGAGCGAGCGGGCAAAGTGACACCCCGGCCTGACGGGTTCAAAACTCTTACGGGTATCATACCTCCCTTGGACACTGTCGCCACAGATCTAGCCGCCAAGAGTGAATGTTTATCAGAAAGAAGGCTACTCGACTCAACAACGACCACCCCCGAAACATCATCTGGAACAGAACACATCACAATACTTTGGTGCTTTGGAGGGATGTTAACGGTGTCCGAGGACCGCACGCAGTCTGCTGCCTCGGTAACAGTACACCCCCGAACACTCACTGTGTGGGCGGCAAAGTCTATAGAAACAGCCGATCCCATCTTTTTCAGCAAATCAGTGCCCAGTATGCAAGAGGGAGACAGGCCACGCACCACAAACAGGGGCTGATCTCGCAGTGTCTTATCTCCGATACTAACATCACACACAACTACGCATTCTAAATCTAATGCGTTTCCATCACCAGTGACGGGCTGCCTCAGAGCGGGGATCCTCTGGACATCCATATCCCCAATGACATCTGACGAAACAACACTACATTGTGCCCCAGTATCTAGCAACCAGTCCACTCTCTTATGCTGAACGTATCCCGAGACGAAGACTTCCGCATCATTATAACCCCCCACTCGGGCGGCTGCTACATGACTGCGCTGTCCACACACAACCCGACCTGCCCGAGCCAGCACACCCCCAGCCACAGTGGCACGCAACACTCCAGCCCCCCGAACTCCGGGACCGGGTTTGTCCTTACCACTGCAACTCGATCGTGGTGACTCCGCCGTCAGTGCCTCACCAGTGGGTGCGCTCGGCACTCGAACGCCCGCCGCGGTGGCCCCCTGTAGGCCAGAACGCTCATCCACGTCAGACAAGCCTATCAGTTCAAAGCATGTATTCGGCCCAGATACAGGTCTGCCGGGGAAGGATAACACACAGTCACAACATGCACAGGACACATTCGTCACATTAACAACAACAAAAAATGTTCTACGCTCCTGATTCCTGAAACTAGATATCTTATTTTGTAGGTATCCAAAAAAGGAAGCGTGAGGAAGAATAAAGCAAGATGCATTTTTAGCCATTATTCGTATATACCTAATGATTTCTGTGTGAGCTATTTCTTTCCCATCATGTAGGTGTCGCTTTGAGGTCCCTCCGGGGCTTCGGCTTCAGCCACACCCACTAAATTTCACTAGAGATCTATCTGTATCTACCTACGCTTACAGTTTATAAGCTTCGCGATTTGTAGCGTCCTCCGAACTGCGTTATTTAGACAAACATCGAGGTAAGTATACAATTTGTATTAGAGACCAAATAGTACAGAAACACGATTTTCCATATATACTTCAACAAGGTTTGCTGAAAGATGTAAATGGCCTGAACGCTGGAAGAAAATATCCTACTCAGGTGTCATTAGACTTCATCAATCTTCAAATACACACTGTCTGACGTAAAAAAAAAAGATAGGAAAGAAAGAGGCAAAGATGTAACCCGTTGTTTTTAGTCATCAGGCTAGAGATCCCATCATCGCCTGGCTAGCAGGCTATGTGACTCTCTGGCAAAGGCTCCGCAGAGACTGGCCTGGGCCGTGGTCAGGACTCAGCAGAGACTGGCGCCGGCCGTGGTCAGGACTCAGCAGCCGGCCGTGGTCAGGACTCAGCAGAGACTGGCGCCGGCCGTGGTCAGGACTCAGCAGAGACTGGCGCCGGCCGTGGTCAGGACTCAGCAGGGACTGGCACCGGCCGTGGTTGAAGCTCAGCAGAGACTGGCGCCGGCCGTGGTCTGGGATATCCAGCTGGAGACGGCGGTGATGCGAGAGTAGACGCCCGGAGAGCCCTGATCGGCGCAGCCGTAGCCCCACGAGACCACGCCGATGAGCGTGTAGCGTCCGCTGACGTCGGTCACCAGCGGGCCGCCGCTGTCGCCCTGGCAGGAGTCCTTGCCGCCGGCGTCCACGTCGGCGCAGATCATGCTGGAGTCGATCTGGCCCTGGCCGAGGTCCGAGGTACACTCGGCATTGGACATGGTCTGCACGGTGACGTCTTGCAGCACGCTGGGTCGCGAGCCACCGGAGGACAGGGTGCCCCAGCCGCTGACGATGGCATCAACGTCGACGAAGTCGCCACCGGACGGCAGACACGCCGGTGCCACTTGGTTGCTGAGAGAGCTGAAGTCAATGGTTTGCGAGAGCTTCAGAAGCGAGAAGTCGTGCGACAGGGTGCGGGAGTTGTAGGACGGGTGGTCGACGATCTGAGAAACGCTCATCCGGATCTGGTTGGAGTCGGAACCGATGTTGTGCTTGCGCAGCAGAACCTGGAGGTTGCCGGCCGACTCGCCGGCAGTGCAGTGGGCGGCCGTCATCACCCACTGGTTGTTGATGACGGTGCCACCGCACCAGGGACGGTTGTTGCCGGTGTTGACCAGTCCCACCTGCCACGGGTACTCGTTTACTTCGGTCGCCTCGCCACCAACGATGCGGGTGACCCTGTTGGCGACGCCGCAGCAGCTGTCGCCAGGTGCCTGGGTGGTGCCGGACGTGGTGCCCGCCGTGGTGCCCGCCGTGGTGCCGCTGGTGCTGCCTGGCTCCGGCACCGTCACCAGACAGTAGAACCCGGACGCCGTCACGCTAGAGTCGGTCTTGAAGACCACCCTGAACTCGGCGGCACTGGTGGCAGGCACCGGGCTGGTGCCGCAGTACTTCACGCCGTTGACCCTCAAGAAGTCGTACCTACACGAGGAGTGGAACTCAATGTCGACAGGGTCACACTGGACGGTGACATCCTGGCCGTCAGAGCCCCGGATCACCCACCTCCTCCGGAAGTCGTTACCATAGTTGTTGGGATAGTTGGGCGATGTGAAGAAGTACTGGCCGGGCTGCAGCACGTAGGTGGCTCTCGGCTCTTTGTCCGAGAGCGGGACCGGCTCTGCCGCCTTGGTTTGCGGCTTTGCCAGGGCCGCGCCCAGTAGCAGGCAGCAGACGGTCAGTCGTAGCAGGACCATGGCGAAGAACAGTGGCCGTTGTGGTACCTGCTCCGGGTGCAGCTCGACTTTTATACGGAACCACGCCGTAGCTACAGGTGTGACCTGTCATCCGAATCTGCCCTGTCACTGGCGAATAACGCAGTTCTGAACGAGGCAGACAAGTGGGCCTCTGCTTCGTCAGCCATATACCTACCGATCTGACAAGCTCAAACGTTTTCAGGAAACCTGAAAATTATGCTACGTGGGACGTTTTCTGCAACCTTGAGCGGACCAGACGCGTACCTAATCTGTGCAGCCACAGGCACTGGCTCTGTTTATCTACGACACTGTTAACCCTCGCACGATGTATTGCTTTTCTACGTATGTACCCGAGAGGGGGGAAGACCCCCTTCCTCGCAGTTTCACCCCTGATGTAGCTAGAGCCTTGCAGAAAAAGGAGCGTGTGCAGCGTTACGAAACGCAGTGATCGCTACCCGATTTCAAGGTCTCAGGTCAACTGGTGACCTCTAAAGTCAGGTCAAGTGGCTTAACCCGCGCCCTGATGGGGTCTGCCGAGCAACGCGGTCTGATGGGGGGGGGGGGCATTTTGGCCCACCTCCCCCCTAAGATCTCGAGAACCACGCAACATAGCGACAAGCGGCAAACGGCGTTGGATAGCCCCAACGGGGAACTACCTTGAGACCCAATTTCATTGACCTCGGTCAAACCGATGACGTCACAGGTCAGGTCAAAGGTCGAATTTTCACCGTTTACAGGCATTTCAAGAAATGCGTTGTAAAATCGAGGAAAATGCATTTCATTGAAAATCATCGATAGAGAAATGTTCGTCAAACACATATTTTGCTATTTGAGGTCACTGATACCAGATCAGGTTACAGAGGTCAGGTCACTGAGCCTGAGGGCCACAAATTAAAAATATCATGTGATGCATGTTTTATGGTCCATTTTATATGCCAAATGCAATTATGTGGGACAGGCAGCCCTTGGGGTCAGTTGAGATTATGTTTTGGTAAAAGTCAGGTCAATGTCCCGTAGCTCAGTTGGTAGAGCGTTGGACTCCGCGTGGTGAGAGCACGCGTTCCCCGTTATAACAGTCCGGGTTCGAAGCGCGACGGGCGCTTGACATTTATGGGCCTCCTGACAGGTATGGTTGCGGTTGGTGGCAGGCCGTAGCCAGGCGAAGTCAGTGGGGGGACCGGCCGTGCGCGGCTATGTGCGCACGTTAAACTTTGGACTCTAAATTCTGCCATAGAACTGGAATTGCGCGATCGGAGGGTAGAGGGCAGGGTCACCGCAACAAGCTTCGCTTAGCGGTGGCTCTGTCCTTGTCAATCCTTCCTATCAAAAGGTTCGGACTAAATTTATAAAAAAAATGTCAGGTCAAGGTCAGGTCAAATTAGGTCAAATTTCAAAGTTGATATTTTTGCATAAAATGGGTATCGATTCGATGCAGCTCGTCACGGGGAGTTTAATGGTGGTCTCCGTTTTGCGCTACGTGGTCTAGAGTTGCTAAACATTGAGTTCAAAAATTTGACGTCATCAATTTCCCGCGCGGGGCTGGGGGGGGGGTAAATTTTACCCCCCCTCGCGAATTTTTGCGATATCTCAAAAACGGCGGCGCGCAGCGCCGCCAAACTTTCAGTACCTTTTCGTACATCAATTTGACACGTTCCCTTAAAATTTGAGCGAAATTCGCCGGAAATTTTTTGAGAAATTGACGTTTTAGTGACGTCATGTTCGCCATTTTCGCCTCAAAAACGGCAAAAGTTCAAACGCCGCCAACATCTTCATTTTTAAAGGAATCAAGACGTAACAAAAAAGGTTATACGTAATTTTACTTTGTCTATCAAATGGCTATCTCGGTTTTTTGAAAATTTTGGATTTTGGCCTAAATTTTTTTCAAAAAACTGACTTTTTGGGGAAAATCATTATAAAATCCAAAATTTTGAGTCTATCGAAAAAACCGGAATATATGTCAGAGACGGGGTCTATGTGCACCTACATACCAAATTTTAGAAGAATCGGTTCAAAAATGTGGAAGTTATTCAAAATTTTATGACGTCACGACACACAAATTTTTTGAAAAATGACTTTTTTGGAAGTTCTAGACCTCGTACGGAAACAAAAATAGCACCATTCGATTCGCCGTGAAAAACTGCATCAGATAGACACCTTTTTAGGCCTTAACAACCAACTTCAAAATTTGACCTCACTTGACCTGACCTTGACCTGACCTCGACCTGAAATTCATCCAGAGGTGGTCCATATCACTTATTGAGTGTGCCTATTGAATTCTATGAGTAAAATGACCCATAAAACATGTGTCGCACATGCCCTTTTCTATATTTTGTTTTTTGGTGACCTGACCTGACCTGACCTGACCTTGACCTTGACCTTTTAATGATATTGTATGCAACGAATATTGTCTTGGTAGCCTAAGAACACGTTTTGGGCGATCAGTCTCAGTCCATGACTCCATTCTTCGGCAACTACGGTGCAAGGCCGATACTGTAGAAACTTGCAATTTGTACCCTTGACCTGACCTTGACCTTGACCTCAAACTTTAAATTAAGTACATGTTTTTAGTAGTTCGTGATGAGAGCTTTCGATTGGCGTTTGAATTTTCCAAATCGGACCATTAGTTCGGGAGATAACAGGGGGGGTAAAATTTACCCCCCCCCCAGCCCCGCGCGTTCGGCTGGAGACCCCAGCCCCGCGCGGGTTAACAGTTCTTTCGCTATAACTTGGCCAAAAAAAAGGAGGTATCCATCTATAATTTAATGTGTATATCGGAGAGCGCAAGGACTATTACATATATTCCGTTTTTTTCGAAATTCGGAAAAAAAATAGATTTTTTTAGCTTTTCTTTAAAAAAATCAACTTTTTTATTTTTGGGGGTGAAAATCCCAAAATTTCGAAACTCCGAGACAGCTGTTTCGTAGCGCCGTTTTTCTCTACACAACCACATAAAGAACTTTAAAATTGCTTGTTAACTGTAGAATTGGTGAGCGTTTCAAGATGTCATGTTTTTTGCTCATTTTTGCTCGAACATAACCTCAGTTTGACCTCAATAACTCCTGACCCGAGGTGACCTGTGACTTGAAATTTTGTGTGAAGGTGTCAAATTGATGCCCGGTAAGGTACCCAAAATTTTGCGGCGCTGCGCGCCGCCGTTTTCCTCGCTATTTAAGAAAAACCACAGGGGGGCAAAATGCCCCCATCAGGGCGCGGGTTAAAATACGGTTTTGGTAAACAACTTCGTCAAAAATGATCGCAGAGCCACGATTTTGGCATCATCGTGTTTGCCTGGCACAGACGCGTCGAATCTATACCATTCGTTCGGGTAGGGTCAACTTAAAAAGTTGAACTCCGGTCAAGGTCAGACAGTTTGAGGTCGTTCCAGGCTACAAAAGAGCAGTTTTCATTTTTCCCAATTGACTTCTAATGGTGAAGTCACGTGACCGACCTGACCTCATGTGACCTTTAGGGAAAATCCGAGATGTACAAGTTGTGAGAACTCTATGTAGAGGATAGTAGGCCCTGTAACTTTCAGCTCCCTGCGAAAGCTGCTCTGGCACTGACCGCATTGCGAAGTTGCGACATGAGGACCATGCTGAGGTTCACTTATGACATCGTATGTCAGCATGACCTGACGAGACCTGTAGATACGATTGATATCACAAGATCTATGCCAGGTCTCACGCTCTCTCTCTCTCTCTCTCTCTCTCTCTCTCTCTCTCTCTCTCTCTCTCTCTCTCTCTCTCTCTCTCTCTCTCTCTCTCTCTCTCTCTCTCTCTCTCTCTCTCTCTCTCTCTCTCTCTCTCTCTCTCTCTCTCTCTCTTCTCTCTCTCTTCTCTCTCTCTCTCTCTCTCTCTCTCTCTCTCTCTCTCTCTCTCTCTCTCTCTCTCTCTCTCTCTCTCTCTCTCTCTCTCTCTTTCTCTCGTCGGCGTGTTCGAAGCTATCCCGAAAAAAAAAACGAAAAAAGTCTCCCCACCCCAGCCTCGGCCCTCGCCCGTGTAGGGGGAGGGGGGTCGAACGGACCCCCCTCGGTTTGTCGCCAAAAACTCGCGTAAAAAGCGGCCGATCGCGACGTAACTTTCAGTACGCTCGCGTTAATCAATTTTACACCTACTCTTAAAATTTCATAACCCTGACCCAAATGACCTTTGACCTGTGACCTACTTTTCGCGACCATGTTTGGCCGGAATCGCGATTCGTCGTATGTCGGCTCGCATTAGCCGCGCGTTTGCAGTCTTTTTGTGGTTTCAAGCGTTACATGTGATAGGATGTTGCCCCCATGCATAAGGGTGGGTGTCAAGGTCACCTCAAGGTCACCTAAGGTCACTGACCTTAGATGACCTCGGCTCACTTTTTCGAGTCTTAAATATTTCTAGGCCAGTTTTTGGGGCTGAATTCGAATTTAGCAACCATATGAATATTTACGAAGCGGTTTTGGTGCCTTCGTAACATATTTCGAAGCTGTCAGAGGTGGTTGACACGTACTACGAATACCCGACAGGACCCCTACTGGTTGACCTGACCTGGCCTGACCCGCCCTGGCCTAAATGCATGAAGACATGATCTGTGATCAAAACTGACATAATATTCGTGATCAGCACCCCGAAAAACCTCATAGCAATAACACTTTACGACGTTCTACCAGGTCCCGATTTTCCCGACTTTTGGGTCATTGACCTGACCTGGAAGGTCAACCAATGACCTAGAAACTTAATATTGGGTATACTCGGCTCGCTCTGGTCACGTGCAACACGCTCCTTTTTCCGCGAAGGTCTAGTTCGATCAGGGACGAAATTGTAATTTGTCAATGTCAACGGACCCCCTCCCTTATACGTTTGTGGCTGGAAAAACACCAATACGGGCGATCAAAGTGAAAAATATGAAACCAAAGATATCAATTTTGATCACAATACAGACCCTAGATCACATGAGCTGTCCTACGATCCAGTAGCTGTAAGCCGACACCCTGGTGTACAGTCCGGGGAACTCGGGGTTGCCGCAGCCAAAGCCGGCGGAGACCACGCCCACCAGCTGGTAGG